GTAACTGCCACTCGTTTTTAGAGTGCCAAGCTCTGTTCATTGGGATCAAATGTGCTAGTATTTTAAATCAATAGTCTGGTCACCAATTCTGATGTTTTCAATGGGGTTGGCATATATGGGAGACAGTTGGAACCTGTGCCAGATTGTGGACCTCAGGTCAGTCGGACCCCTCCTAAATGAAATGCTTGACCCTGATTAAACTTCAAGTTTTTTGGGTCATAACTCTTATGTGGATTTGGATATTTTGCTGAATATCCAACCAAATTGCATTTCAATGCCAGACTACATATGTGCCAAGTTTCTTGTTTATAACATAATTGGAACATGAGATATAAGCGAAAAACAGCCTGATCAAAGTAACCCCAGGCGGCAGGCACTAGGCGGGGTTACTAATTACTCTCAAAAGTGTTCATTTTTCCATGAAACTTACACATGGAATTCCTCAGTACTCCTAATAGCTAACTTCATAGTTGGATAGAGTTATATTCCTTCTTTATCTCCTATAAAAAAGGTTGCCTAATTTATCACAAACAGTGTAATGCACTAATGCATGCTCTTGCCACTCTTGAATTAACATGGGTTCTAAAAGATTGATCCCTTTCATGTGGACTAATTTTCCAAAAACTGCTTTGGTTAGCACAAGGTGGTGATATAATCCTTGAGAAATCATGGCAGACTGATTTGAAGGCTGTTCAAATAAGAATAAAGGCAGGAAGTGCTTTTTTTTAATGTGGCTGCAAAAATTTTGGTCAGTGATGGGGGAGGGGGGGCCAAAAAGCACTAAGCAGTGTTAGTTTCAGCAATATTCCCTTTAAACAATAAATCTGGTTTTGGTAGTTATGTTAACAAATTTTTCCAGCATCTGGGAATGCATGTCATGAGGTTGAGAAAGCTTACATTACTGCTTACCTCTGAAATAATGGTCAGAAATTAGGTCAATTTTGTTCCATGGGGGCAGCCATCTCAAATCAAAGCTACCCCGGCCTGTCAAGATACCCCCGGTTTTAAAGTACCTAAGTTAAAGTTAAGTTTTAAGGTATTTGTTCAGAAAAGGTCTTTCAGATCTTTAATTCAAGCCATGAACGCTAGGTATGTTGTAATCCCAGGCGTAGTCACTGATGGTATGTGTGTGCATACAATATAGTCATCCCTTTGTCCTCGTAAGTCATGGAACCATGTGCTGTGTTGTGTGTTACAGTGGCCCATCGGGTCTGCTGACAATCTGAAGGCATGTCTCGAGGAAATGTTGACTGCAAAGTCTACGTGGGGGATCTCGGTAAGCATTGTAATCTAACCAATTGAAAGTAACATGTGAAACATTTAGAATTGAATGTTGTTGACTATTAATCTCATATAGTCAACCTGTTTGATACAATTTGTCCTTTTGCATGCATAAAATAACAATGAGCTGGTTATCATGTGCTGTCATTTCCCTTGTTAATTTCAGTCAGCTTATCTGCTATGTACAATACATGCAACTACAAATTCCATCTTTCACTTGTCTACTGATTTAAAGACATGATATTCATATTTCATATGGGACCTAGTCAAAGTATAATTAATGATGTCACGTTTGTAAACTCGTTCATTTTCAGGAAGTAACGCCTCACAGACGGAGCTGGAGGATGCCTTCTCCTACTACGGACCGCTGACTAACGTCTGGGTGGCCCGCAACCCGCCGGGCTTCGCTTTCGTCGAGTTTGAGGACCCACGCGATGCCCGGGACGCCGTCAGAGGTCTGGACGGACGGTAAGTTGAAGACCGCATGCGTCTTCAGACACAAGACAAGTGGACAATTGTATAGATATGTACCATTATAGTTATACTAGGTCCAGCAGCCATCCTATGAGTTTTGCTAACTGACTACGGCCACTGCTGCTGTCCCGTTTGTGCTCTGTCTGACGGCTGCAGTTTATCTGTGCTCTGTCTGACGGTCGCTGTCCGTTTGCGCTCTGTCTGACTGTCTACAAATGTCCGTCTGTGCTGTCTGACGCTCGTGCTGCCGCCATTCCAGCACCGTCTGCAACCGCCGCGTCACCGTCGAGATGTCCACGGGCCGATCACGCGGCCGCGGCGGCGGCGGCGGCTTCAACCGCTGGAGCAGCGGCGGGTACAACCCTAACGACCGCTGCTACGAGTGCGGCGGCCGCGGCCACTACGCCTATGACTGTCCCGACAAGAGGAACCACTTTACCGGCGCCGGCGGCCGCAAGAGGTGAGCGGGCGGCCGGGCGGGTCGGCGGGGCGGGGCGGGCCCCAGCGGGAGGGCGGAGAAGACACGCGTCCGCTCCTCGTGGCCGCTGGTGTCGTGCCCGTGGTTGGATGGTCGATGGCCTGCTGACGCGCTGTTCTGACGTTTCATAGGGGATGATTGTCGCCCGCACAGTCAGCTTGACCGTCACAGCTTGACCGTCCGAGCCGTGTGAGCGGCGGCGCTGCCTGCAGAGCGCGCGCAGTGCGCACCCATCCCCACCCAGACCGCGGCGTGTCACCGCTCCCAGTGCCGCCCAGAGAGCCGCGTGTCACCGCTCCCAGTGCCGCCCAGCTCGGTGGTGAGACGCCGTCACAGGGCACAGAGAGATGCACTAGCGCGTGCTGCAGTGGACAGAGACTCAGTGTCGGACGCTGGTCAAACCTGCTACAGGCAGACCGAAAATTACCTGTGTGAAAGAGGAAACATGCTATGGAGAGGCCTATCGCAAAACTCGATTCAGCTGTTATTTTGCTGATAGAACTGTTGACAATTGAAAGGTCGGACGGCTACAATTGAATGATTCTGGTACTCAAGTTATGTGGTCTTACTTCTTAGGTAAGGCTGGTGGAGACTTCCATTTCGCGTCTTGCTAGCCGCGTCTAAGTCTTAGACGCGTCTAAGTCGAAATAGTCTTAAGTCTTAGACGCGTCTAGCTGGACGGAGGCTGCGTGTATCTGGCGACAGCTAACTTAAGACGCGTCTAGCTTGGGAAGTCCAACAGTTAGGCGCCAAGTTAGACGCCAACTTGGACGCCTGCTCAGCTAGACGCCAGTTGGCCCCCAGTGGAAGTCTCCACCCTTTACCTCAGCACCATTTTGAGTGGCGCTGTTTAAGTTCTATCATAAAAATTAATTGTAAAAAGCTTTCATGACACACTTCTCTTCTTTCGCTGAAGACATCATATAAATTTATCAGATCGCTTTATCACATACAAAATTCGGTGTCTTGGATAATCGAGTAAGCTGCTGGAGGAAGAATGTACAATTTGATGCTGCAACCTTTGATAAACACTTTCGAAGGATTGAATACAGTAGCGCTACACCATTATCTGCTAGGGCAGAAATTCAGTCAAACAGGGACAACCTTAAACCGACTGAAATTCGGGATAGACGAATTCTACTTATGACGAAATAAAATGTAAAAGCTTTTGTACATATCAGCTTACTGATTCTGACTTGGGCACCTTTTCGGTTCGATCCGTTTGCTGGATCCCTAAACTAAACATTGTAGTGCCCTCGGAATTCCCATGTTTACGGTCTCCTGATAATTCACGTGGCTGGTTTCCTGTATTCAGCGGATGTTTTCCTCAAACCTCGTCGTACGAATGCTTGCAACCCATGCCAATATCACACAAGTCACCCCGTTGCGGTGTAGCGTATCCTGTTCATGAATCGGAATTCGTAATTTTGTGAACATGTCCATCTGAATGCCTTACCCTGAAGTACCCTGGTGTGTCGCTAATCGAGATGCGGCTTGCTTTTGAAGAAATGTATTATTTTAAGCAACCACGTGAAGAGTGTCGCTTGAAGTGTGTGTGTCGACGCAGGTCACGGAGGCATCCTTACACATTGCTATATCCTCGTATTGTCTTACCCATTTCAGCTTCCCACTAGTCCTTTGTTGCCTCTGTTCAGTTACCTCTCCCGAGGGCAGTCACTTGCGGACATTTATCTCCATTTTCCAACCAATCCTGCGTTCTTCGCCACTGAGTAACTGCCCGTCCGCCCTCTCCCAGCACGCCCCGCCCCGCTCGCGGCGGCTGACACCTCCCTGCCCCCGGGGCTGTTCCAGGTCCCGCAGCCGTGACCGCGACCGTGACCGGCGCTCCCGCTCGCGCTCTCGTGACCGGCGCGGACGTACCCGCTCCTACACGCGCAGCAAGTAGGTGGCGCTGGCGTCGACGTGTGCTCGGACGTGTATTTCACTTTCATATACGGCATATACGGATGGGACTATCCAGCTTTTTATTGTTTGTGTACAAAGTGGGCTTGTATAAAATTTTGTCATTTAATCCTTGCCCTGTTTAATTTAAGCATTTACGTGAAGCTGGCCATTTCGCACAGACCCGTATTTTGTGATTGCCTGCGCTCGTTCCGCTGACGGCCTTAGTGCTGAATGCGTGATGTGTATTACTCCCTGTTCAGTCTCGACGTCATCTGACTTGGGACTCGTGTTTTATTTTTCAGGTCGCGCTCTCGCTCCCGCTCCCGCTCGCCGAGGACCAACGGCCGGGACTGAGAGGCCGTCCCACCGGGACTGAGGTCCGCCCCGGGCCGGCCGGCGGGCCGCATCATACACTCACGGACGAGTCGCGCGTCAGGTCAGCGCCGCCGCCGCTCAGTCTCTGTCCTGCTTACTCCATCATCACCGCCCTCTCTCTCCTCTCTCTCGGCTAGAGTCTCTAGTAGCTGTAGATGTAGACATCGCTGACACGGTGGGTGTGTGCTCACACGGCGCCCGGAGCTCGGCACGCCCGGTCGGAGCGAGCTGGGTAAGACGTCAGCTCCGGGTGCCGCTACCTGAACGAGTCACCGCCCGCGGGGTCGGAGCACAGATCTGTGCAGATCTGTCCCTGCCACAGGACGTGGAGAACCCGCGACCGTGAGACGCGCCATGGATTATTTTTGGTGTCAATAAACAGTTGACATAGTTGATTGGATTTGGTAGTGGGATGTGAGTAGAAGCGATGCGCTGTGATGATGCGCTGATTTGCAGTTGTGATGAAGTTAGACGAGAAAGCAGAAAGTTCTCTGGGCGGTGTGCGAAGGCACTTACGGCCGTTTATTGCTTAAAATGGCACTGCAAACACATGACTAGGCATTGCACGTTTGTCCCTCCTCGCACATGACAACAATAACAAGTGACAAATGCGGCGCGCGGCGGACGGACAATGCGCCACTCGATGAGACTCACGCGATAAATACACTCTGGCTGGCACTCGCCAGCTCATAGTCACCAGTACATTCACACGCACACTGTCGACACTCGCTCCTCCCGCGAGGAACGGCCACTGATTGCCGGGCCAGCTCCGATCCGGCGGCCGCCCCAGTCACAACTTGACCTCTGCCAGCGGCGGGGACTCGCTGCCGGCCGTCTCACTCGGCGCGGCGGTGTCCCCCTCCTCGCCTTCCTCGGGAAGGTAGTCGCGCCAGCTGCGGAACAGATAGCGCGTGAACTTCTTCAGCTGACGAAATTTGCAGTAGGTGGCGCCCTCGGCCGACTCAGTCTGCGCCGTCTGAATCAGAAAGCCCTGCTCGCGAAATTTCTTCTCCAGCTGCCGGTGCTGCTCCAGGGGCCCGGCTCGCTTCCGTTTGCGGTCGGGGCTGGGCGCTGCCCGCTCGCTGCTCGTGCTCGCTACGCTTTGCTCGCCAGGCGCCGTCGGCGGCGTGCGCTCGTTCTGGAAGAAGCGGAACTGGCCGTCGCTGTTGAGCGAGAGCTTCTTTTTCTCCTGCAGACTGGGGTTGGCTCCGCCCTTGAACTTGAACTTACATATGCTGACATCTGAGGTGGAGCCGAACCCCCCGGCGCCGGCTGACGCGGAGTCCCCCGACAGCACGTGAGCCGGGGAGCGTTTCTTGCGCCGCGATCCTCCGTCGGCCACCCCGCCGGCGTCTGTGGGACTGTCGGGCGCGTCCCCTGCCCAGGTGGCGGCGTCTCCCTTCGCCCGCTGCCGCCAGTGGTGCTCCAGCATCAGCGGGTGCACCATGACGCCGGCCTCGGGCCAGAACACGTAGTCACTGCCCCAGGCGGCCTCGGACGGCGAGTCGGGCGGCGACTCGTCGGCCGACGGCTCCGACTTCACCGACGGCCCGTCGCTGAGGCTCAGGTCGCGGATGCAGAGGTTGAGCGGCTCGTCCTGCTCGCCGGAGTCGCTGTGCGCGCCGGCGCCGGCCAGCAGCCGCTGGTACATGGGCAGGTACTCGTGCAGGCGGCTGTAGAACTCCTCGGCTCCGTCTCCCGGCTCCGGTTTGGCGCTGAGGAGTGTTTGTAACATCGACATGGGCGGCGTATCGGGGGTCTCTGGCGAGCTGGGCGACCGCTCGCTGCCGCCGCCGTCCACCATGTGACAGATGTCGGCCTTGCGGGGCTTCCTGCTGCGGTGGCGGCCCTCCAGGGGACTCTCTAGGCCGCCCTGCAGCCGGCTGAGCGCGGCGGCGGCAGCGGCGGCCGCCTCAGCGCCCCCTGCCGGCGGCTCGCAGCCCGCCGCCGCAGCCGCCGCCAGCGCCGCCGACGGGCCCGGAATGGCCTTCACCAGGTGTGCCGATACCGACGTCGGGAAGAGACTGCCGCCGTCGTAGGAGGATTTCTCTACCAGGATCTTCTCCTGGCCCTTGTTCATGCTGCCGTGCACCTCCTGGATGAAGCCGGGAATGGCTCGTGAGCCGCGTCCTCGCCCCCGACCGCGGCCGCGTGTCCGCGTGCCTCGGTTCGGCGCCGGCCGCGGTAGGATCTGCCGGTACTTTGAGTTGGCCGCGATCACCGAGGCCACCTTGCTGAGCGTCTCTGGCCGGACGGTGCTGGTGCCGTGCCGCCGACCGGCCTGGCACGCGGCGCTGAGCACGTCCGGTGTGAGGTGCGGCAGCGCGGCGGCGGCGGCCGGCCGCTCCGGCGGCGGCTGCGGCTGCGGCGGGCTGGCCTCGCGCGCCGCCTGCGCCGTCACCTCCTGGGCCAGCAGCGAGGCGGCCTCCTGGTTCATGCGCTGCACGTAGTGATCCAGGTACTCGGGCGGCAGCGCCTGGTGATGGAACTTGAGCTGGCGGCGGCCGCGCGCGCCGCCGGTAGCGGCCGCCGGGCCCCGGCCTCGGCCCCTGCGGAAGGAGAAAGAAGGGCGTCAGAGTCGGGACAACAGAAGCATCGGGTGTGCGCACACGCGGCAGTGGCTTATACAAACGGCCGGATTTTGGCCATCACACCATGCAATGAACAGGCGGCCCTTTCCAGTCCGTAAACGGATAATGCAGTTCAGCGCTTACACTACGGCATCTGTAATCTCGCTGTTTTGTTTTCCGCACCTGTCTGTCTCATCTAAGCATGTGGTCCGCCAGAACAAAAACCACGTGATGATCTGCCTCAGTCATCAGATCTCTGCTCTGCAGTCAGTCAGTGCCGTGCACTGGTCACATGACGTCCGCGAGGGTCTGATTACGTCACTCGTTCATAATGACGTCACCGGTTCCGGGCGGTCGGCGTTAATGGCACATATATCTGTCACCTGCCGGCCTGCTCATAGGATACAGCGCTGCTATAGCCTGTCGTCAGTGCAATCTGGTATGGCCGGCCAAGTCCGGTCAGAAGGACCAGATGTTGATCGGGGTTAGTGTTAGCTGTGCGGCCGCAGAAATTTACGCGAATGAGCGCCAGGCTACTGTGTGCGATATAATGTACGTCTTGGGAAATATAAACTGCCCGACAAATGAGGACCGCGGTTTGAGGGTATGGTCGTACCCTCCATCCGAGGTGAAGTCAGTGCTCATGAAGCAAGGCCCATTATTTATTGGTACCTACGTCAGCTTAATTTGTTAATGCTGTTCATGAACATGAACGTCTTTTTCCCGTTTCAATTACTTTCAATATTGGAAATTTCATTACTTATACGGGAGCTTGTGCTCATTGTTCTTATTTTGTAGGCAGCCCTGTTATGGCCATATTCATTTGACCTGGACAGTCCGGCTCAATATTCCCCATCCGACGACTGGAATAAAAATACACATAATTTACATTCAGAACGTCATATCGGCTTGCATGCTCCAACTAGCTAAGGAGAAAATAGCATTCCTGGAATTGACGAGTCGGGCCGGTGCGGCTCCCGGCCTCGGGTGTTTCGCGGCGATCGTGCATCCTCATATCACCGGCAACATACAATGGGCGCCGGTTGGCCGGCCAAAGTATGTTTCTGTGTATTTCGGACACAATCGTTGTTTACGCTGACAGTTTTCTGCACACGGGACTTTACGAGCGAGCTGGCACGCTGGCAATGCACGTGCCACTGTGACGGCCCTGACCGGGAGTGTTGTGTAACGGATGCTAAATGACCCGAGCGCGCCTTATAATGTGCACGAGGGACAGACCCGACGGCCATGGTTGAACGACTACTGTCGGCAATGCGTAATGCGGTAGACGAGTTGCTAGGCAGTAGGCAATAGGCATGTCACACAATAGCGTATGTTTGACTTTGTTTTGCGGTCAGCAGCCCTTTGCTGGCTGAGTCTAATTATCATAACTGCATAGGAGGACTCCTTGATTTGACCCCAGCAAACATATCGCTTTCACCCGTTATGTTGCACGCCCTTAGATAAGTAAATAAGAAACCCGATACGGTCGGCGCCCGTGAGGTGGACGGACGTCCCTGTCACCAGGCCAGTCCGCACCGGATCCACCGGACGGCCCTCGTTGACCGTGGACAGATGACCCCGCTCGCTCGGACGACCACTCTGAGGTCTTAATTCCCATGGCGGCTGTTTCAATTCACATGCCACAAATCGCTATTTCCTGAGCAGTCGGAACCGCCCAATAATCCCCCTCCCCCAGTCACATCCGCTGCAGGTCGGCGGACCGGCACAGGGGCGCCGCCTCGCGGCCGATCCCACAACTAGGCATCGTCGGCGCCGACGGCTGCAACCGAAGCCGGCCGCCATCGTCGGCGCCGATTGCCGTACGGGGCCGTAGCTGGCGGGCCTATTTTCGGCCGGCCGGCGCGGTGTAAAGTGTCTATTTTGGCCGGCTGCTCGGCGCTGTTACTCGATATGCTCGTATTTGGCTGGCGGAGGCACGGCGCTGAACAGCGGCGCACGTGCAGATGCGCGTCCCCGCGCCGGCCCAGATCACCGGCGGCGATGGAAATAGATGACGGTGCGCGGGGCGCGGGCGGCTGGAGGTCCGCACTGGCCGCATTTGTCGGCTGTCCGATCGGACAGGATGACACTGTGTCCGGTGTCCGCAGAGTCGGTACCGTGTCCCAACACCCCCGTGGAGCGGCACGTGATGAAAATCGGGCCGACCGCTGCACAGCGCCGCCCGGTAATATCGACTTATTCGGCGGCGGTATTTTTACGATGAGTTAACAATGCCTGTTGAAGTTTTTTGGTGACAGCTTTGATGTCACATCAGAATGTCCGATTGCACGGGAAAAATCGAACCTGGTTAGGAGAAGCCAGTCTATATGGTCTCTAATCTCGTTGGTCAGGCAAATCCGTGGACATACGCCTGCCGTATAAAGGCGGCACCTGGCTTATACGGGGACCGCATTTCCATAATGCGGTGTGGCGGCGGGCATTCATATGGGCTGCCACGCCACGACTAGCCTAGATCCACAGCTGAATGTGGAATAGCTAATGAAGATTTTGGATTATTATTTTTTGTCAGATTTACCAAGCCGTAAGTAAACTTTATCCACGGAAAATCGTGCAACTTTCATCTAAAGTTTCGAGGAATGAATGGATCAAAGGAATGGGGAAGTGTGGTTTCGCCCTGTTTTGTTTGATGCTACCATTTTGGTATGCTGCCTGCTTCCGGAAGGAGCATCATGGAAAAATCACTTATCTTCAGTGTGCAATATACAATTTGTAGGGAAAATCGCTAGGCGAATAAATCCGAACGTTTATGCCTTTCCTGTCTGTTTTGATATTAGATCGTATTTAACATTTCCCAGGAGTCTTTTCCTACATTTGCTGAGCTTTTTTCATTTAACCCTATTCCTGGCGGGCTCCGCCGGGACAAGAAACTGGCGGGGGGGGGGCCGATTCGGCCCCCCCTGAGATCTCGAGAACGAAGCAAGATAGCGACAAGCGGTAAACGGCATCGGATACGCACGGCCAAGATCTACAATTTTTACTAAGGTCATTTTCAGGTCAGGTCAAAGATGACGTCACAGGGGTCGAAAAAGTCAAAATGGCGGCACTAGATATGGAGAGAGTTTTTCTCGAATAACTTTCGAATTAGTCAAGATAGGAACAAACTAAGGGCATCATCGTGATCCTCTCGTCAATCCGCATCGAATGATATATATGTTGACCTCGAAAGGTCAAGGTCAAAGGTTGACCTCAGGTCACGTGACCTCGAGGTCATCATGTATATCATTCGATGCGTCTTGACGAGCTGAACACAATGAGACCATCCACGCGTCTGTATCTTGTTCCTGTACGGAGTTATTGGCCAAAAACCTTTGGTGACCTTTGATGACGTCACATGACCTCACAGCTGCCCAACAGCAAAACAAACCTGAAGGTAGTGAAGGTTGATCGTATATGAAGTCATGTATGGTATATGGGGCCATTCCGACCCGTTTTAGTGGTAAAAACAGGGAGTTGATTTTTCCCCCATTGACTTATAATGGGGAGGTCGCGAAATTGACCTGACCTTAGGTCACCGATATCAAAATTCCGAGATATACAAATTGCACATACTGGTACCCTTACTAAACCCTGAAGAGAAGAAATTGATCGGTCAAAAACTCTAGCTCTGGCGTGATTGCAAACTTTTCTGAGGTAGCGTCACCAAACCGCCTCTGGTGACCTGACCTGAGGTCAGATCAACTCAAAATTTTCAGACATGTTGCGTAGAAGCCTTTTAGGAAAAGTCAGAAAATTTGAGCTTCCTAGCTCAACGCGTTTGGGAGATATAACCAAAAAACCTCAGGGGGGGGCTCCTGAGGCCCCCCCCCGCCAGGAATAGGGTTAATAGTGACCAACATTGCTTGATAAGCATTTTACTACTATTACCATTGATGCTATTTTCAGAAATAGTAAAAGCACCGGACAGTATTTTTATAACACTATTTTTATAACATCTTTATTCAGTCAGTTTCGCAAGATTAAATTGGATCATAGGCAAATCGCATTACTGCAAAGCCGCCATAAACTATATCCCCGTATCGATGTTTTGCTTTCGGTGACGTCGCCTCCTGACACGAATATACCATTTACGTAGAAAATCACTTCAGACTACATTCCTAAAGAAATGGCTCGTCTTTTACGGCTATCACAGCAGGTGTTTGCCTTTGAGCCGAACGCCCTACAAAAGCCGTACGTGATTATAATCGAAAAGAGGCACCGGCCCCGTCCCCGGGCTCGTTTCGTTTGCTGACTGTTCTACAATCTAGCAACGTCATTTGCGTGGGCGAAGGACAGTGAATCCGCGCTATTTGCACTATATTCAGGCTAATTCATTGCTGCTACGGTTGAGCCCCACCTCGCTTCGCCAAAAATGTCACAACTGCGAACAATAGAAATAGCAGGCCACCTGTTTGTGTAGGCAGCGTCGGCTCGGTTACCGGTCGGGTTAACTATTCTTAGTGGTCGCCTCTGCAGACGTTGCACAATGATCCTCACAGGTTTTCAGCGACCACCCGGGATCGATTGGCGCTGGGTGGCCGCTGACGCCTTACACAGTCGGACCTCCCCGGGAGGCATTGTGGGCTCTGGCGGCCTCATCCGCAGTCATCGCCATATACGCGTCTGCGCGGCGGCGGGGGCGGCGCCGGCCGTAATTAGACGCTCTAATGCAGGGGCGTCGCCACACATTTCTGACAGGGGGGGACGCATTTTAGCCGTCTCTTTGATGACGGATCAGTGGAAAGACGTGTAAAAAAAAAAATGCCTAGTGATAGGTAGGTAGGTATGTCATTTTGCTCCATTCGGTCTTATCACTGTGATGGGAAGATAACAAGGGAATTATAAGTCAAAAACATTGGTGGCTCTAACTATCGGTATTTGTCCAGAAAAGGCAGAGCAGAGTGTCTGATATATATTGTTCAGACTTCGCCAGTGACATTTTCAGAAATATCAGCGTCAGCAAGTACGTTCCCCGCGGC